TTTTGGTTCCAAAAATACGTAGTAGTTCTATGTCCACCAAATATCGGTACATCCCATAGACTTAAAATAAAATATAGACTACACTATTTACATCTAAACGCGGTCAAACAATCATTTTTGTGCACATGTTTACTTCTGGGTACAGTCGACAGTCGACCGCAGCCGATCGAGCCTTCCTCATCCAGCCTATGCTGTCACGTCTTTAATATTTTCAATATTTTTTTTTCTTACTATACACATATATTGAGATATTAATACTGCATTTTTGGCAGTTGGCTTGGAGATGACGATCGATGGCAGTCCTCATATAATTTTACATATAAAATGACAGCAACCTTCATTTCGTAGCTTCATTTATTATTTTTATCGTTTTTGGACTTTAAGACGTTTTTTTTCTAAGCTTTTATTTAAAAACCCCCTCCTATATCTTAATAATATAAAAAAGTTTAAATACGATATATTTTTAATTGAATTATCGTTTCATTAAAATAAAAAAAAATACCCGCCTATGATACGGAGAGTTCTGGCCGTGGTTCAGGTGTACTAAGAAACGAAAGACAGTGTTGCATTTCGCGGCAGAGTCGTCAGGGAACGACCGTTACGACAGAGCCAACCTATCTATCGCTCGTAGCGCACTCGTTAGAATCTAAAACCAAACCAAACCAAAACCAGACATTGTCTGACCGCATTTGCCACCTATTTATGAATGAGATGCTCAGTCTATATTTTAAGTCTATGGGACATCCTGTATTTTGACTAGAAATTATCGAATAGTTGAAAAAATCACGTCTATTTCTTAATTTATAACAATTTTTGTTAATAAATAGCAATATATATTTTACAATAATTTTGTCATGCCCATTACGTACGCAAATCACAGAAAAAAATTAAATTCCAGATGGCATGGCGGACACTTAACAATCCAGAAAATTATTATGCATAAGATTTTTTCATCTACTCGTCAAAAGAGAACCAAATTACGTCAAAAGTTTCAATTCAAACGCTTTCATTAATTTTCATTCATTCATCTCATTTTATCTCATTTGGATATACAGGGTCCGGCAATAGAGCGTCGGGCATCTACAGGGTGTCATTGAAATGGTGTAAAAAAATCGGGGGGTGATAGTACTCCTAAAAATAGTAAAAAAAGTTCCTATAATTATAGGGTGGAAAATGCATATTAAGGGAGTTAGAGGCACTGAAAGGGTGAATTTAAAAAACGGTTGTTTTCAAATTGTAGGCTTAAAAAACGAGATAAAATTTCGAAAAAAAATCCTCTGTCATAAATTTTGACCTTGCAGAATTTTGAACACCCTGTATGATTTCAGTTTACGATATTTATAGCAAAGTAAGTACAGATCCCCTAAAGTAAGAACCTAATATAGTTTTGATATTAGTACAGTTCTTGTATTTTTAATAATTTTTTAAGAAAAGCTGAAATTTGAATTATTAATATTTCTGAAACTATTGAAACAGATTTACTCATATCTTAGGATTATGTAAAGTGATCAGAAAGAAAGCCAAAAATGCAATATAATACAGGGACATTTCATTAAAAAAATCATCCCGATCTACTCACACTTTTTTGAGCCACCCTGTGGAAGTTATAATATTTTCCTGAAATACACTCTAGTAGTACGAGAGCTAGCAACATCGGAAAACAAGTATTTTAAGACGTCTGGGTCTTTGATATATATTTTACTATGCTCTCTAGAACAGCATGCGGCCCGTCTGGCTGCCGGGAAACGTTGCCTTCCCTACTGCGCATTGAAAGAAGATTCTATATTTTTATTAGTCCTTTAAATTCTAATATTGAATATATATCGAACATGTCTCCATAGCGCAGTGCAAGAATTATTTAATACTTTACTATCAGAATATGAACGAAAATAAAATAAAAAAGTCTTTGACCTGACCCGGATTCGAACTCTGAATCATCGGTTCGTGGTCGGAAACTCTATGCACTGACGCGACGGAGACATGTTCGATTTATATTCAATACTAGAATTTATAGGACTAAATTAATAAAAAATATGAACGAAAATAAATAAAAAGTCTTTGACCTGACCCGGATTCGAACTCTGAATCATCGGTTCGTGGTCGGAAACTCTACGCACCGACGCGACGGAGACATATGTTCGATTTATATTCAATACTAGAATTTATAGGACTAAAATAATAAAAAATATAGGATCTTCTTCCGATGCGCAGTAGTGAACGCAACGGGTATCGGCAGACGGGCCGCATGCTGTTCCAGAGAGCATAATAAAAGATATATGAAAGAGCCAGACGTCTTAAAATACTTTCTCGAAAACGTTGCTAGCTCTTAGACTATATAGGCCAGTGCAAATAATTTTGAATTTGCAAAAATGTTTAGAAAGCTGCAACCACTGAAAATAGTTAGCCTTAGTAACCCTTATTAACATACTAAAAGTCCCCATTTGTCCGATGTGTGCGTCATCAAAAAAAATCGGCCGCCATCTTGAGTTTTGGTACTTTTTGGGAAAAAATGTAAATAACTCGAAAACGGTGTGTTATAGCGAAAAACATCAAGAGGTAAAAATTAAAGAGAATAAAAAACTCGATCAGAATCAATAAAGAATAGTTTATTATCCTAAAGCAGTGACGTCCAAATTTTTTTTGAAAATCAAGCAATTTTTAAAAGGAACCACCGAAATGCAAATTACTATTTTTTCAAGCTTATTAACAAATAACATGGATATTTAGCATCAATTCAACTAAAATACAGTCCTTGTGACATTTTCAAGAAATATTTATTGGTGGTTTAATAATATTTCAAAATTAACAAAAATTGTCAAAGCTATCCTTTACTAAATACATGTGTACCGGTTGGGGCTATTTGCACTTAAACCAAGGTCTTTTTGTTACCATTGTGTAAACAACTTGTTTTTAAAAATACAGTGACACTTATATGAATAAAATGTAATAAACTACTTGCGAATGTCTTTTTGACATAAATATCATCTACGATCTTAACCTAAGATCTTAACACTTTTTCATTATGATTAATACATTATAAACATACCCCTACAAATCGAATAACAATAATTCAAATTATGACCGTTTTAATAAAAATGTGTTACCAACTTGTAACCTAACTTTTCAAAGTGTCATCTCTAGAAAAAAAATGAAATTTACAATTTTATTCGATTTGTTCTTCATCGACCGATATTTGTTCTCGCAAGAAATACCATTACAGTTACCACACAAGCATGAACATGGCATATTGGATTTTAAACATGTAGGTACCATTGCGATTAAAAAAAATAGTACAACAAAATATGATTTAATCTGCTGGTCTATATTCTTGTGTCAGTGTCACGTAATTTTTAAAAAATGCCTTTAACTTTAGAGCAAAAACCGATTATATTTACGCGATTAAGGGATGGGGTTCCCATAAGGGACATTGCAGATGCATTAGGGATAAACAAAAAAACAGTGTTGTTGGCTAAATCCCAAAAAAAAATTCAATATAATTCAAATATTCTTATAGACCAGGAGTTCCATCTGGGACTACTAATTCTTGTACTATTTTTTTTTATCGCAGTGGTACATAGTTTATTACATCCAGATTTGCAATTACACTAAATCATTTTCAATACATATTCTGGTGCCACTGCGTTTGACATTGTTTTTGGAACTAAGGTATCCGTTTTTTTACTCCATCCACATTCTGTTGCCTCTTCCCCGTTATTTAGCAAATACTGCATTTATAAATAGGTCCTATAATAATGATTTTCAGCTGCGTTAGTTGTTGGAGGTAAGGTAGCTAAATCAAAATTTTTACTATAAGTACCTGACGAGATGTAAAGGTGCGTATTCATTATCCGAACGAACGAACGAATGTTCGCTAGTGGTATGGACGGGGACCGTACGATAGAACCGCACGAGAAGACCGGACGCGAACGCCTTTGATGTACCGACTCGAAACGGATGGTCGAGCGAACGAACGAACGAACGGCCGCATGCGTTCGGTCCCCGTCTAAATATACCGCACTTTCGTTCGTTCGTTCGGATAATGAATACGCACCTTTAAGGGCTTTATATTTAAAATACCTCAACTGATCTAAATCTTTTGCTAGCCTATGTCGACCATATAATGAAAATAAGAATGTATTTCCAGCTTCGACTAGCTCAGATTTTTGTGCTGCAGGATCTAAAAAAAACGGATGTAATTTGTCGCAGATGAGGATCTTTTTGCAACGTTTTGAAAGTCGCCAGCAATCGCCAGTTTACATTACATTTTATTTTTTCTTCCAACCTGTAACCTAATTTTTCAAACTGTCACTGTATTTTTAAAAACAAATTGTTTACAAAATGGTAACAATAAGACCTTGGTTTAAGTGCAAATAGCCCCGACCGGGACAAGGTGGTGACTGCTTTCACATATTATTAGTACACATGTATTTAGTAAAGGATAGCTCTTACAATTTTTGTTAATTTTGAAATATTATTAACCCACCAATAAAAAATATTTCTTGAAAATGTAACAAGGATTGTATTTCAGCTGAATTGATGCTAAATATCCATGTTATTTGTTAATAGGCTTAAAAAATGAGTAATTTGCATTTCGGTGATTCCTTTTAAAAATTGCTCCATTTTCAATTTTTTTTTACGTCATTGCGTTAGGATAATAAACTATTTTTTATTTTTTATTGATTCTAATAGAGTTTTTTATTCTCTTTAATTTTTACCTCTTGAAGTTTTTCGCTATAACAAACTGTTTTCGAGTTATTTACATTTTTTCCCAAAAAGTACCAAAATTCAAGATGGCGGCCGATTTTTTTTGATGACGCACACATCGGACAAATGGGGACTTTTAGTATGTTAATAAGGGTTACTAAGGCTAACTATTTTCAATCGTCGCAGCTTTCTAAAATTTTTGCAATTTTAACATGGTGAATGTCATAACTGCACTGCAAGTTTTATTCTAGGAGCTACAGATGTCCGACGCACTATTGCCGGGCCCTGTAAATTACCGGGCATAAAAGGAGGTCCTGCTAATTTTTCATCACTGTATTTTGTAAACAACTTTGCAAATTCTTCGACCGATATATTTAAGTTTAATTTTTCTACTATAGTTTTTGCAAGATCCTCCGTAGTTTTTCCACATACAGTCAAGGCTAACTCATGATAATATTTTTGTCCAAGATCTTCGACAATTCTTTTTAAGACTCCAGAATAAACTCCTTCTGTGTCTGCAAAAATATAATTTATAATTCTAAGGGGGTTTCGTAATGATATTAGTTATTAAAAATTATAATACTACTTTCCTAACAATGTACCATCTAAGTCGAATATTACATGTGATACTTTTTTATACTTGGAATAATTGCAGCAGTTTCTATTCATTAATGCTTGAAATGTTTGGTTGTTTGTCTAAAAAATAGTGACAAGTACTTCATAGACCTGCCACAGAATTACCTATATAAATAAAGGTATTATGACTGTACTAGTTGAATCGTAATGATGATAATTATTTTCATTAAAATAATCACTTATAGTCAGGTGCTAAGGTCAGGTTTGTACCTAATATGTCTGTCTACAATATAATATTTTTCGTAATTACTACCTACCTACACTAATTATTACAAAGCAATTACAAGAAATGTTGAACACATATACCTGAGCATACGAGGCTTTGGGCCTTAACGTGAACATCTACAGAACTAAAATCATGTGCACTCTCCCGGAAGACCACAACAATGCTATAAAAATTGGAGAAGAACTATTGGAATATGTAGCGGAATCCAATTAAATACCTCGGCAGTTTGATCTCGGAAAAGGCCAATATCGACTCTGAAATTCAGCACAGGATTAGTAGCGCCTCATGGAATTCTGGAAATTAAAAGACTGGGTAGAAAACCCAACCATGAGTTGAGCACAAAAACGAAATTTGCGGAGTACCGAGCAATAATAATGCCCACCATGTTATATGGAAGTGAAACCTCGGTGCTGTACCGTCGACACATGAACGCATTAAACAAGTTGCAAGAGAGACACCTTAGACAGCTCTTAAGAATCAAATTGTTCCACCATGTCTCAAACGTTTCGGTCCTTGAAAAAGCTAGCTGCGAGAGCATTGAGGTCATGATTATAAAATCCCGCTTAAGATGGGTCACGTGTGCAGAATTCAAGAAAACCGCATACCAAAATCACTGCTTTACGGTGAGCTTGTAGACGGTAAGAGGAGGCCGGGTGGACAACTCAAAAGGTACAAGGACATTTTCCACGAAAACTTAAAGGGGATTAACAGGCAGAATTAGTGGGAAGAAGCAGCACACAATAGAAAACAATGGAGAAGAATTGTAAACTCAGTTAACAGCGACAACCAAAAAGTAAAGAGGCAACAAAGTCCGGAGTGCGGTACAGATAATATCACGTATCGGGCTTTTCAGTCACAGAAAAGCTCATGAAAGAAAACGCCTTGCGTGACCATCTCCTGATGTGTGTCAAATACTCGTCAGCGAGTAATGGCAGTATGTATGTATGTATTGTTCGTAATTAAAATATAACAAAAAAATATAAGTGGATCACGCTGTACAGAGTGGGTCAAATTGGACGCTTTTAAAGGGAAACACCCTTTTCTATAGGAGATAGGCAAAAACTAATATCGGTGTCTGGAGCTCAATTTTCATCAAAAACATAATGGTGAAAACCGCACATCGATATCTGTTACTGTTTCGGAATTACAGGGTGTTTTTCGAAAATATGCATTTTTAAAAAATCGCTGTAACTTTTTTGCTATGGAAAATTTTGTATTTTTATGAAAACACTTCCAAAGCAACTTTTTACGTAGAATTTAATGGTTTAAGTATAATTTTTGTTAAATTAATAATTTAATAATTATCAACAGAAAATTCGATTTTTTATATGGGACACTCTGTATATTTTTTATTTACTGAAAACAACTTAAAATTTCCTTTCCAAAAATATAGCACACTTGATATTTTTTTTCAAATCCCCTGCTAAATACAGAGTTCTAAAAGTTTTCTACTTTGAACTAGTAGGCTTTGGACAGTTCAGCCATAATACAGAAAACAAATGGTATTGACAGTTGTCAAATTGTGATTTTAGCATAAACACACTGAGCAACACTGAGTTTTAGTTTAATCTATTAAATAAATTTAAAATGAAATTTGCAAATTACGAAAAATGAGATATGATAGTTTGTTATATACAAGCCGGTGAGAATGCAGAGGCAGCAAGCAATTTGTATTACGACCGATATCAGAGAGAATGCAACCTTTTAAGAACATGTTCGGTAGATTGCGGTACAACCTAATTAATAATGGTCAGTTTAGGAAAAACAGGGCAAAACAGTATGAATCAAACAGGGATAGGGAGTTAGAAGAAATCGTGGTTTTAGGAGCCCTTGAAAATAATCCCAAAACGTCAACACGAAAGTTAAAGACACTAACAGGACTGACAAGAAGTAATGTTAGACGAACTTTAAAAAAACACAGATTTAAATCATACAGGACCAGAAAAGTGCATCATCTTAGACCCGGAGATTTTGAACGCCGCATAAATGTTTGCCAGTGGTTTCTAGAAAAATGTAACCAAATAGTCGATTTTCCATTAAAATGTGTTTGGACAGACGAAGTACCTATATATATATATGCAGTGCCGGTATTTTTAATAGGTATAACTGCTATACTTGGGCACAACAAAACCCTAAATGCAGTAGTGGAGCGGAGAAATCAAGGAAGGTTTGGATTTAGTGTGTGCGCTAGTGTTTTTAGGGGTAGGATCATTGGCCCATTGATTTGTGATGGCACTCTGACCTCTCAGAGATATTTGCAATTTTTAAGGCAACAAATAGAACCCTTTATTGATGATCTTCCCCTAATGGAACTCAGGGACATATTTTTTCAACAAGACGGGGCACCGCCTCACAACGCTGAAATTATCAGCAATTTTTTAACAGCCAATTTCGGGAATAATTGGATAGCTAACCAAGGTCCCAACCGCTGGCCGGCGAGATCGCCGAACTTAACACCCATGGATTTTTATCTTTGGGGAAAATTAAAGGATATTATTTTTAAATCACCCGTATACTCCCGACAAGAATTAGAACTAGCGGTTATGCGAGGGTTTGCATCTCTCACTCCTACTGAGTTAATGAATTCCGCCAGAAATGTTCAGAAACGGTGCTGTCTGTGCCTAAGAGAAGACGGTCGACATTTCGAAAACCTCTTGTAGGAAAATTAATTATTATTATTCTGGTTTGTTATTTATTATTATTGTTCTTAGTTTAAATGTGTTTTTGTTTTTAAATATAGTTTAATTTGTTATAAAGTTGACTACATTTTATTGTATGTATTTGTTGTTTTTAACTACTGATTACAGCTACCGGTAGGCATTTGTTTTTTGCATTATATGGTAGCGCCGTCCAAAGCCTACTTATTCGCAGTGGGCGAACTTTTAAAAATTCTCTATTTCGAAGAGAACTCGAGCAAAATATTAAGTATGCTATATTTTTAGAAAGGTAATTTTAAGTTCTTTTCAATAAAGTAAAAATATACAGGGCGTCTCATATAAAAAAATGATTTTTTTGTTGATAACTCTTGAATTATTAATTTAAAAAAAAATGATACTTAAACCATTAAATTCTACGTAAAAAGGTGCTTTGGAAATGTTTTCATAAAAATAAAAAATTTTCAATAGCAAAAAAGTTACAGCGTTTTTTAAAAAATGCATATTTTCGAAAAACACGCTGTAACTCCGGAACGATAACAGATATCGATGTGCGGTTTTCACCTTCATGTTTTTAATAAAAATTGAGCTCCAGACACCGATATTAGTTTTCGTCTATCTCCTATAGAAAAGGGTGTTTCCATTTAAAAGCGTCGAATTTGACCCACCCTGTACATGAAAGAAACACCGGACAATTGAGGGTTCTTATACAGGGTCCGGGCAATAGTGCGTCGGCCATCTGTAGCTTCTAGAATAAAAAACTTGGGAATTTTGTTTAAGTGCTAACCTCTGTTGCAAAACTATAGTATGTCAAGGATGTATTTCAGGAAAATATTTAAACTTCTATAGGATGGTTCAAAAAAGTGTAAGTGGATCGGGATGATTTTTTTAAATGGAACAACCAAACACCCAGTATTTTATTACATTTGTGGCTTCCTTTCACTTTCCATAATTCTAAGATTTCTTGAAGGCATTAGCGGCACTTTGGACCACCCTGTAACTTAATTGTGGATAAAGCAAGAATATTAATTTTCACTTCACATGAAGACATACTATAGCTGGCTAGGTTACCAAAATATCTAGTAATTATACTCCATAGTTTATGAATTATCGCTTGTCAAATGTCTTTAATTTCGACATTGACTCACTGACAGATCATCAAAATTCTAAAGATGATTCTAAAGTACTTCTAGATGTGTCACAATCTTCAAATTTCGAATTTTAGTTAGCTTTAAGCTTATAATGGAAGGAAAAAATTAAAAATTTTGAAATATCCTTATGGACTTAAAGTTAGCTGTCTAGCCGCTATCGGTAACTGACTTTCCAGTCGGGAAAGAGACAGAAAAACTAGAATTAATCGAAGCAGTCTCTTCTGATTTTATTTGTACATCAATGTACAACAATAATTCAAGGATTATGCATTTTTCTAGTCAAACTTCTTTAACTTCGCCAGTGACTCACTCGCCGTCATCAAAATTCTAAGGTACTTCTAGATGTGTCACTAACTTCAAATTTAAGGAAAAATTTAAAAATCTAAATTTTTTAATTATGAACTAAAGAACTAAGAGCTAAAAAAATTAAAGGACTAATAAAAAAATATAGGATCGTCTTTCAATGTGCAGTAGTGAATGCAACGCCAGGCGGCCCGCACGCTTCTATGAGACCCCCCACTTAATATGCAATCAAGCCACAATGTCATCTTTTTTTTATTTTAAATTTTTTTTTTTTTAGCTATAAATAGTCTTGCTAATTCCGCCGACGTGCACGGTCCTCGAGACAAGCTTAACGGATGCATGAAAACAAAGCTTAATGCCTTGTTTATTTCAGCAACCAAAGAAAAATGGATTATACATCCTACAGGCACTTTTCAATAATTTGAAACAATATTAATTTATGTCAATAATAAAATATTTTATCAAAAAAAAATACTTTTTTTTTTTTTTTTTTTTTTCTTATATTTTTTTAAAATATAATATATAATAAGTATTTTATAAATATATATTTTCAATTTTTTTTTTTTTTTTTTTTTCTCGAAAATGTATAACACTCACTATCCTCGAACATTTCAGATTTTTTTCTTAAATATTCACTTAGGGTAATAGAAGTCCGGCGCAGAGTAACAAAGTATAACGGTGTCATGGTGGATCTGGGACAGTACCTTTGATGGATCGTGACATTTTTCATTCGAAACAGATTGAGAGGTGTTTGGTAGTTTTAAATAATTGAAAAAAAGAGCAATTTGGAAAAAGTTTTTATTTTTGAAATTAGCTAAAATATGTCTACCGGACCATGCTAAAATATGTGGGGGTTTCCATTTAAAAAAAATCAAGATGGCGTCGTATCTGTCAAAATTGACGTTTTAAAAAATTTTGGTGTAGAGAATCGGCATCCTCGCGAAAAATTACATTAGGAAATCTTTCTACTATCTTTAAATGCCAAACAGGAAAATTATAAATCGAGTGAGACACTTAAAATGATGTCCCTGTACGTGGTGGACCATTTTGGTTGTTTCTATAGGGTATCTAGGAAACCGTGAGAAATATTCAAATTTTCATACTGCAGTCTCGGGTTCTTTTTTTGAAAAAATTACAATGGCGCAAACGGATCGTGGCTATCTTGATCGGTTTCGAAGCTTAAAGGGAGATTCTCAAATTTTGTACTTTTTGAAGATGTTCGATAGTTTGTTTATTTCAGCAACCACGGAAAAATGAATTATATATTCTAAAGGCACTTTTCTGTGTAGAATGCAGTGGCGTAGTCAGACTTTTATCGAAAAAAATATTTTTTGAGATATTAACTATGTTTTTTAAATAGAACCCCCTGTATATTTTAAATTTTCTAATTCAGCTTGGCATGGGCTTCTCGAAAATGTATAACATTCACTATTAACCTCAACATTTCAGATTTATCTTAAAATATTCACTTAGTAGATAGAAGGCCGCGCCGAGTAACAAACTAAACGGTTGTCATGGTGATCGGGACATACCTTTGATGGATGCGTGACATTTCATTTCAACAGATTGAAGGGTGTTTATTTTAAATAATAAAAAAATGAGTAAATTTGAAAATTTTGAGGAATATAATATGTTAGAATGTTATATTGAGTTTAACAAACATAAGCAAATAGCAGCTGATTTATATTTTGAGCGGTATCCAGAGCGCGAGCAACCAAACCCAGCCATTATTAAAAGGTTAGACGATAGTTTAATCAATTTTGGATCTTTTCAAAAACCGCGTCAGAAAGAAGATGAAGAAAATCAATATGTTAATGTCCTCGGAGCCGAATACATGAATTAGCAATTAAATAAAATCGAACAATACGAAGCAAATAAAAAATAAGTATGACAGAAACAAAAAAACATATTTTAATATAAACTCATGAGGTTAATTCAACCGGGATTCTCAGTTAATATAAAAAAAAAAATAAAAACACAAAGACTACATTAAATGTTCAGGCCCATTATTATCTAGACAGAGTTGGTACCGTCTCCGTACGCCGCCGCTAACAGCATTTCAATAGCTCTACTTGATGTTGTTGGATCTAGTGTTACGGCTCCAAGGATACTAATATATTGATTTTATTCATCTTCTTTCTGATAATTTTTCCGACGGGGTTTTTGAACAGATCCAAAATTAATTAAACTATCTTCTAACCTTTTAAACATGGCTGGGTTTGGTTGCTCGCGCTCTGGATACCGCTCAAAATATAAATCAGCTGCCATTTGCTTATGTTTGTTAGACTCAATATAACATTCTAACATATTATATTTCTCAAAATTTTCAAATTTACTCATTTTTTTATTATTTAAAATACACACACTCCAATCTGTTGAAATGAAATGTCACGCATCTATCAAAGGTATGTCTCGATCACCATGACAACCGATTACTTTGTTACTCGGCGCGGCTTACTATCTACTAAGTGGATATTTTAAGAAAAATTTGAAATGTTGAGGTTAATAGTGAAAATAAATATAGAGTGTTGTACATTTTCGAGAAGCCCATGCCAAGCTGAATTAGAAAATTTAAAAATATACAGGGGTTCTATTTAAAAAAAAACATAAGTGTAATTAATATCTCAAAAAATATTTTTTATTGAAAAAAGTCTTACTACGCCACTGCATTCTACACAGAAAAGTGCCTTTAGAATGTATAATTCATTTTTCCGTCGTTGCTGAAATAAACAAACTACCTATCGAACATCTTCAAAAAGTACAAAATTTGAGAATCCCCTTGTAGATTCGAAACCGATCAAGATAGCCACGATCCGTTTGCGCCATTGTAATTTTTTCAAAAAATGAACCCCAGACTGCAGTATCAAAATTTGAATATTTCTCACGGTTGCCTAGATGCCCTATAGAAACAACCAAAATGGTCCACCCTGTACACATGTAGGAATTATATTCATGCGTTAATATGATAAAGAGATAAGAATTTTATTTGCTGGGGAACAATAAAACTCAATATTTCGTGTTACTTCATTTTTTTCAGTCACAATAGGGAGATAGCAAATATTCGTCTTACAGCGCTTTCAGATGGAGCGGACCGTACGCGCGGATGTTTTTTCAATAAAGCTCATCCGGACGGAGCATACGCGACCCATGTGAAATTGTTCATATAAACTCATGGTACTTGCTCGAAGTCGCGGACGGGCCGTCACGGACGCTCCGCTCCATCTGAAAACGCTTTCAGATGGAGCGGAGCGTCCGCGCGTACCGTCCGCGAGTTCCATGAGTTTAAATGAACAATTTTCCTCAACTCAAGCTCTTTATTAGCCGACCATACCAATAGGTATGGTAGGTGGTAGGCTATTAGGATCGGCAGAAAAAAAGTTTTTTTTAATTTCACTCAAAATGAGTTATTTGGGTCATAAATGACCTAAATACAAAATATTTTCGTGGTGTCTGTCTGTCTGTCTGTCTGCCCTCTGTAACACGATAACTCAAAAACCGCTGAACCGATTTTAACCAAATTTGGCACAAAAATGCTGTGACACCCGAGAATCTGGCCATTAGTTTTTGGTGGGGGTGGGGAGTTGGTAAGGGGGTATGGGAGGGGGTTAAAATTTTTAAAAAATCGTAACTCCAAAATTACAGTAGCTAGCGAAACGCGGTTTTCAAATTAAGATCAGGAATAATAGATATTAGCAACAAAATTTGTAATAACATCAAAATCTGTCAAAGTCGCAGTTTTCGAGATATTAACATATTTTAGTATGGGCGGCTGGCTATACGTGCCTCCCGGCGCCAATTTTTTTTTCTAAACAGCAATAGAATATATACTTCATTTTACAGAAAATTTGTTAATTTTGAGGGCCATAAAGTGAAACGGATGCCAGATAGCACCAAAAATATAATAAAATATTTTGAAATTTACTCCATTTTTTTACTTAAAGTTATTATTAAAAATTGGCGCCGGGAGGCACGTATAGCTACCCACACTAAAATATGTTAATAAAAAGTTGGTAGGCAGTTCTTTTAGTTTCAAAATAAAGGAATTTTTCCAATTTTGGTCCGCGGTTATTTCCCCTATCCGCCACCTGGGGTCGCGTCCGATTGGAGTTTGGTTTAGAGTTTGGAGTTCTCCACACGGATTTTCTCAAAAACGGACTACGGAAACCGGAATATCTCAAAAACTGCGACTTTGACTGATTTTGAAGTTATTACAAATTTTGTTGCAAATATTATTCCTAATCTTAAATTGAAAACCGCGTTTCGCTAGCTACTGTAATTTTGGAGATACGATTTTTTAAAATTTTTAACCCCCTCCCATACCCCCTTGCCCCCCACCCCCTCCAAAAACTAATGGCCAGATTCTCGGGTGCCACAGTATTTTTGTGCCAAATTTGGTTAAAATCGGTTTAGCGGTTTTTGAGTTATCGTGTTACAGACGTACAGACGGACAGACAGACAGACACCGTGAAAATATTTTGTATTTAGGTTTATGACCCAAATAACTCATTTTGAGTGAAATTAAAAAAACTCTTTTTTGCCGATCTTAATAGCCTACCATACCTGTTGGTATGGTGGGCTAAAAATGACTATTTTTTCAAAATAAAAATACAAAAACAGAAATTTTAAAGAAAACTCAGTAGGACTGACAACATTACTTTTCCTTCTGTCGCTGCCATACTGCCATGTCAAATCAACTTTTAAAATTTTTCATAACATCAAATATGTGTCAAATACTAAATTAAGATATTTTGAAATTCCGTCCATAATCTATATTTCCTAAGTTTTTTAAATGAAAAATTCCATTTTTTGTGTGTGTATGTCATGTTTTATCAGTTTGTACGTTTTGACCCCGCCCAGCACCCCTGTTGGCTCCCCGGTCCCGTAAGTTTGTTTGGTTGGAAAAATACTTAAAGAAACAATTTCTCTCCTCCCCCAATATATTTGCAATCTCTAAGGTCAGTAGAATGTGAGTATATAATTTTTTTTTCCATATAATACAAAAAATTGCCGAAAACCGTATATTTATGCAACTGTTACGAACATCCGTTACATTACGTACCTTTGCAAATCACAGAAAAGTTTAAAATTCTAGATGACTGACACTACCAAACTATAGATTTATTATGAGCAGAATTTTTTCATGTACTCTTCAAAAAGAAACAAATTGCGTCAAAAGTCTCAAGGCCTAATTTTTTTCATTATTTCATCCAATTTCATCTCACATTGGATATAAATTACCCGGCAATAAAGGACATGTCATGACTGTTAATTTTTCAGCACTGTATTCTTTATACAAGTGTGTAATTTCTTGGACTGACGCATTTAAGTTTAATATTTCTATAACAGTTTTTGCAACTTCTTCCGAAATTCTTCCATGTACAGCTTCATATAATTCGGGAGAATATTTTTTTCCAAATTCTTCAACAATTTTTTTTAAGGCTTCTTCATAAATTCCGACCGTGTCTGTAAAAGTATAATAATTTATAATGCTAAGGGGGTTTATATTAGTTATTTAAATTATAATATACTTTCCTATCAATGTACCATCTAAGTCAAATATAACATGTGTTACTTTTTTATATGCGGAATTATGGCAATAATTACAGACGTTTTTATTCATTAATTGACTGAAATTTTTTGTATTTGTCTGAAAACTAATGACAAGTACTTCATGATTCTGCCACAGAATTATATGATTATAACTAAAGGTATTGTATGGCTGTATTAGTTGAATACCAGCGATGGGGTCTTGTGCAGAACAGGTCCCCACGAAATCGTGTTTTTTTTAATTTTTAATGTGGATCCCATAGTTAATGGAATGGTTTAAAAGAAAAAAATTGTTGGATGAACCACTTTTTCTACGAAAAAAAATAATTGAAAATTCCAAATTTTCACTACATTTCAATGCGAAAACTCCCTATTCAGTGGCGGATAGATACAGAGGGGGGGCTTATGGCCCCCCCTAAAATCTGTAAATTTGCTTAAATATTAGCCTTTTGGGTTAAAAATGGCGCCCTAAAAAGCATATTCTCCATTACTTTTTTTTGGCCCCCCCTAAAATAAATTCTTGTATCCGCCACTGTATCCCGACACAAAAATGTCGTTTAAAAAATGGAGCCTATTTTATCTTAAAATGAACTTCTATTAGATCAATTGAATAAAATCTGATAAGGAATAACATATTTATCATAAAAAATGTTCTAAAAAATGTTTTTATTTAATTTTCTATACCAAATTCAATAACCGATAATGAAAGAGTCGCGGACTTGTTTATACAGGGTGTTTCAAAGAACATGTGCATCTCTCGTGAGGAGATTCCTCACGTAAAAAAGATTTATTTTTAATATCAACATAGGTACGATTCTGCTTTGTTTCGTAGCTACAGGGTGTTAAAATGTTTCGATTTATTATAATTTTTTTCCAAGTACTTTTAGCATTTCGAATGAAATTTGGAGGATAAAAGTTACTATAAATGCGACATATTTTAAAGCTAAAAAAGTGTCGACATATTCACCGGGGAAGTGCATCGTCGGACGGGACATAGGAAATCCCATGTAAATTTTAATATGGTCAATTATTGGCTTCCCTAATTATTTTAGAGAATAATTCTGTTTAGGTTTATTGAAGAATATTTATTTATATCCACATTCAAAAGAATAACTTTAGATATTTTTGATTAGCTCGTTTACGAGTTATCGCCGATTTCTTTTTAAATATTTCTCCTTGTGGCCCTGTCTTTACTTATGAGCACCAGTCAAGGTAAAAGATAACTGTCAAATGAAGTTGTCATTTCAGAAATTTACCTATTTAGTGCTTTATTATTATTGAAAACTCATTCCTACATCGGAAATCTTAAAGATAAAGTAATCAATTACAAGGTTTATTATAGTATTATTACAATATTCAATAACTTATTAATTTAGGTACTATTAAATTGTTAGAACTTTAGGATTTAAGAAGATGTTCAAATATTCCTCCATCGAATGCTAGACAATAACCCAAGCGATCATAAAATTCTCTTACATTCGCTAGTTTGTAAACTGAAATTCTATTGCATTCGACAGAAATAGCATTTTTTAACTCGTCTAGATTTGGGTATTTTTTATCCTTGTATATCCTGTTTTTTAAATGGTCCCAGAGAAAGAAATCATTTGGCGAAATATCAGGAGACCTTGCTGGCCAATTTACTCTATGATTTAGGCCAATAACGTTTCCGTTAAAACTATTGTCTAAATATTCCCGAACAGCCAGGGTACTATGTGCCGGGCAGCCATCCATTTGGTACCAAACTTCCTGATTTTCTCTAGCGGCATCATGTAAAGCAGGTAAAATATGATTTTCGAGTAGTTCCAAATAATATTCTGCATTTATATTTCGCGTAAGAAATAATGGCCCGATAATATTGTGTCCGAATATCCCTGCCCAACCATTTACTTTCTGTGGATATTGCGTCCTTGTTTGGACAAACCTGTGTTGGTTTTCTTTGTTCCAATATCGATAATTTTGAACATTGGGTTCATTATTTAAGGTAAACGTGCATTCGTCAGTGAAACATATGTTTTTTAAAAATTCCCTATCCATGTTTGCTCTTTCCATCATATCAAAACAAAACGCCTGCCGCCGTTTTTCGTCCCCATCTCGTAGCTCTTGGTCCTTTTCATATTTGAAGGAATAGTATTCATGTCGTTTCAAAATTCGAAACGCTGTAGTGTGATCTATTCCTATTTCATCCTCAAGTTTTCTTGTGCTGATCTTTCCATTGTTCTCTTCCACGCACAATAAAACTTCCAAGTCTGTATCATTTCTTGCATATTCTCTTTGTTCCTGCCTTGCTTCACATCTGCAGTTATTTATTAGGGTACCTTTGGTCTCAAATCTCTGGATATTCCTTGCGATTGTAGATTTTCCAGGTATCGGTTTATTCGGATACAGAGCAGCAAACATGTTCGACACCTTTTGATAACTATTTCCTTGATAATACCGTTTAATCCATCAATACTTCTTCGGTAGCGTAATTCATGGCTAATATTTTCGATGTAGATATGAGTTTTTCATAATAATAATAATAAAGCACTAAATAGATAAATTTCTGAAATGACTTCATTTGACAGTTATCTTTTACAGTACGTCTGTCCGTTCTGTAGCTACGGGGTATCCGTCAGAGGGGAAACGATATTCTCTCGATGTTTTTCGTAAAAAAACAGACGACGCGTCCCATCAATAAAAATTCAAATTTGTCAGTAGCCAATAAAATGAGTGGGCGGAGCGATTTGAGGTGACGCACTCGTCAAGTCATACGTCAAATCGACGTATAAAATTTTTTTTATACTTCGTTGACGGATGACAGCGCGGACTGTCACTCGGTTCTTCTTTTCTCTGTGGACTTGGCCTTCATGACCGGCAAGAGAAAACTTCTCGAGGTTGGAGTAGCTGTTTGCGCCGTCGAACCTCCGGGCCTGATACCGTTGGAGGCGGCAATGGCTTGGACGCCATATATTTAAAAAGAAATCGGCGATAACTCGTAAACGCGCCAATTAAAAATATCTAAAGTTATTCTTTTGAATGTGGGTTTTAGTGCTCTTCAATAAACCTAAATAGAATTATTCTCTAAAATAATTAGGGAAACCAATAATTGGCCCCATTAAAATTTACATAGGATTTCCTATGTCCCGCTCGACGATGCAACACCCGGTATAGGTTATCACTTGAATATTTTTCTAAAAAAGCATGTACGGCACTGACTTTTTTCTCTTGTTAGTGAAACAGTGTAAGCAGTTGATGAGATAAACGCAATTTTGTTAATTTGCTTTGATCCAAGTCTGATAGCAACCTTTAAAAAAAATTATACCATTAACTTGCGAAAGTTTTAAATAAATACTCATTGATTACCCATCAAAAAATATGGAAAAAAGTTCCTATAGACATGGATATGGAAATGCAGAGTTTTAGAGTTACAGGACGTTAAAACTTTTTAAAATTAGATTTTTTGTAAATATCTTAAATACCATTATTTTTTCATTTGAAATTGCTGTAGGTTGGATTAATAGTAATAATAACTAATAGTAATAATATTTAATAATAAATGAGGCATATATACAGGTGTCCCAGAAATAAGTGCAAGTATTTTAACTGGTAGTATAGTTCAACCCCAGAAACACGCCTATGAGGTTTTTTCGCGAAAAAATTTATTTGAAAATTCGGAATTGGGAATTTTTTTAAGGTTTTATTTAAAAAACATAATTTCTTGATACTATGGCAACATAGGTAGTAGATTAAATTTACAGGAAAGAAAATCCAGAAAAGATAATGTGGTTCTCAAAATTTTGCCAAAAAATATTTTTTTTTGGAAATTTTCAAAGTAAAATAACTCCGTTATTTTGGACCTATTTAAAAAACGATAAAGAGAAAATATGTTTCTTTTATCGAGATCTATTACCCCTTAAAATACTTGCACTTATTACTGGGACAACCTGTATAATTTATTAATTTTATTTTAATTTTAATTTTATTAATTGTGGTTTATAAAATTGCGTTTATCTCATCAAGGAGGCCGAATTAAGTTATTATAATAACTTTTAATTGGCAATAAACGGCCTACACAATTTCGATATCAAAAGAAAAAAGTGGCGCACATGCTTTTTTTGAAAAATATTCCAGTGATAACACATATGCACGTCCTTGATGAATTTGTCGACATTTTTTTAGCATTAAAATATGTAGCACCTATAGTAACTTTTATCTTCAAATTTTCATTCAAATCACTAAAAGTACTTGGAAGAAAATTATAATAAATCTAAAGATTACTAAGACGTTAACACCCTGCTACGAAACAAAGCAGGATCGGACCTATGTTGATATGAAAAATAATAATTATTTTTACGTGAGGAATCTCTCCACGAGAGATGGCACAAGTTTTTTGAAACACTCTGTATACTAGGGTGAGGCTTAAATAAGTGCAAATATTTACGAGTAGTATATTTCGACCCCAGAAAGATAAGATAGATAGATAGATAGATAATGCTTTATTTATTTCCTTATTGGGTATTGTGTAAAAAGAAACCCAAAAAAGGGCATGGAAACAATGTCAGTAAAAATTTTTAAAAGAAAATAACTGCATATTTCAACAAAAAATGAACTATATGAACAAAAATAAATAGTAATATTAAAATTAAATATTTTATGAAAATAATACTAATAATAATGAATTAAATCTATGTATGTATAGACAGATAACAACACAAAATTATACTTACAATAAATAACAAATTTAGACCAAATGATACAAAATAAAAGTAAAAACATACGAGTGTGGTTGTTTTTACAACAATATACAATCGATGTTAAATATGACACAGGGCGCTCTTATCACTGTTTAGAAATTCCGCGAGGGAATAAAAAGCTCCTCTGCACAAAAAGATGTTTAAGCATTTTTTAACTTTGTTTTTAGGCATAGACAATAGACAAGGTAAAATTTTCCGGAAGGGAATTGAATATTTTTATTAGAGAGTAATCTATATTTTTTTGAAGATAGCTGAAATTATATTTATCCGAAACCAGCTGTAATCTGTGTTTAGTATCATATTCATGTTCGAGCCTACGGTGTCCAAACAAATTCCAGTTTTCCAGGACAAACACCACAGCCTCCAAAATATACATGGA